TGTAGAAGGGGGGGGATGAATACAAACACAATATTTTCAAATTTAAAATATATATTGATAGAGAAGATCAATACAGATTTTACAAGATTGTTTGTGGAAAGATAAGGTAATAAAAACCTATCTAAACAATCTTTGGTTACACACAAAACCTTAGCAAATTACAAGAAATGTAATTGCTGCAAAGAAGATCCTTTACTTAACCTAGAAAATGCTTGAAGTAAGAATTAGGGTTAGAGAGTGAGTTGCGCGCACTCTGCATGGAGAAGAAACACTTCTATTTATACCTAGTGCATTAAATGTTCATTTAATGCAATATGGTAGGGTTAGAGTGCGTGTCAAGCCTTAAGAGGAAGGCTTATCCTTTGCTACAGTGAATAGTAAAAAACACTATTCATGAGCAGACATCCTTACCTAAAGTTGGTGGACAAAGAGTCGACTAGTCGGCTCCGTACCGTACTAACTTTCGTAAGGGTATGGGTTTTGTCCTTTGTGTGCATAAGGACAAGACAACAACAATCGTGCTAAACAAGCTTCATTTGATCGCTGAATGCTGGAATAACCTGAAGGTCTCATCATCATTCGCTGAAGCTTGAGCAGTCTTCACATATATGTAGACATGCTTGTAATCACTAAGTACCGCTTCAGATCACGTACTCGCCAGTCTCTAATCTTCAATTTCAGTCTTCGATGTTTGCTGAAGGTTCTTTGGTGTGAGTGTTGTCTTCTTGAAGTATTGTTGTCTCTGATAGATTTGTAAAACAAGTTCTTCAGCGATCACTGAACATACTCGGTGAAGATCGCTGGAACTGAAAATACAGAAACATAAATACAACGTATAAGTGGAAAAAGATTATCATCAAATCACTGAGAGAGAGGATCAACATATGTAGCATTTTTCGGTTGAAATGATCCAAATAACCAATTTTTAAAAGTTCGCTGATTTATTTATTAAAAGATATATGTAAGGATGATTTTTTTTGTAAATAACTATGATTCAATGAGTTGCACAATATTAACTCTTTTATTTTATTTTCTTCATAATTTTTTAATTACATCATTTTAAAAATATTAAAGTAACCCAAGAAATTTGGAATACTACTTTCTGTAAAAGTGATTACATTTTTCAAGTCATTTTATAAAAATAACTTCTAAATTATACGATTTTAAAAAGGTTAAAATAATTTAAGTAACCAGTCTTTTAAAAAGCTCAATCATTTAATTATTAAAAAAAATGCAACGACTTAATCATTCAACATAAAAATAGTTCAACAACTTATTCAATCAAAAAAAGTTCAAGAACTTAATAATTCAAAATGGAACAATTTCTTTAATTTTCTGAACTTTTTCCTTATTTAAATCTTAATACAAATGGTTTCTATAAATATCTCATCAATTAAAATAACTAATTAAACATAAAAATTAATTTTTTAGCTTAAACTATTTTAAGTTTTTTAAAATAATTAAAATAAGACTTTAATAGTAATATATATATATATATATAATATAATATAAATAAAGATAATAAAATAATAATAATAATAATATAAATAAAAAAATATTATATAATATATGCCGAGAATACATGGAGAGTATTAATATGATTATATAATATAATTTAATTAATATATATATATATTCATATTAAATAATAATAATAATTAAATATAATATATTATTAAATCGATTTGATGTCTTATGGTTTTAAAGGACAACACAATCCCTAACATTCAACACCTCCTATTAAGGGGGTGCCATTAGCACTCCTGTTTTAAATTTTGGTTTTATCTCTATGGTTTGCTATTTATTTATATTTTCGTCTCTAAGACCAAAACACTACTTTTAAGTATAAAACACTAAAATATAAATATATTTTAAACGAAAGTGACGAAAATAGAAATAAATTTTAAATCATAAAAAATAGATGATGATTTATAAACCATAAGGTTAAAATTTATAATTTCAAAACCCATAAGAATAAAAATAGAAATTTTCAATAAATCATAGAGATTAAAAATATAATTTACCTTTT